TGCGCAACACCAGCGAGCTCCAAGGGCAAGGCCGTCGACCAGACGTTTGAAGTCGGTGTGCACACACACAGGGGGAAGGCAAACCTGGAGAACCTGAAGAACGGCGTAAAGCTCGGCCCTGGGCGAGGACTGTATGGGGCCTGGGAGAGCCTCATAAACAAGAATGTCTACCCCAGTCGGCGGCTCACCCAGCTGGCAGAATCCCTATCCCGCTCGTGTGGCTTCAGGCCAGTACCACATACGCTGACACGCCCCATCCGTGTAGATGTTGCCAGTGATGCCTGGCGGATCACCGTATTGGATGTGCCAGTGCCCAGTGCAGTCCCGTGGTGGTAAGGGAGGGAAGCAAGAGCGAGAGACGAGCCCTGATGACCATAACATGGAGTCACGCGCTTGCATGGGAAACCCATCCGTGCAAATATGAGACATTTATTGCTGGCGATGTGCACCAAGAGACGAGCATTCATGTACAATATGATACAGATCACATGGAGATACCCCGCATCGTGGACATGCGTGGGTGTCCCTGTAGTAACACTTCGCAAGCCGTGACGGGCTCCAAAGGCCACCACCCAGATACGCACGTAGAAGGCCCGCTTCCTTGAGGGAGGGCCTCCAGTTGGTGGCAAAGGGGTTGGGGCCTAAGGGAGCCATGGTCGGACACTTGTCGTCAGCGTGATCGTCGAGCTCGTCGTCACACCCCGATTCGTCATCATCAGGTATGTCAACCTGGGAGAGGATCTGCAATATTGGTTCGATCCAATAGCCAATGGGCTCCCGAGGAATAACATCATGCCCTGGAAGCGGAGGCCGTTGGGCCCACTTCTCCCAGAGTCGCCGAACCCCTGCATCTCTATCAAGTTGGCGGATGGTGGACGGCGCCTCATCTCGGACATTGATTATGCCCCCCTGATCGGTCCGCCAAATGGTGCTGCTGACAGTAGCCCAGCCGAGCTCTCGTAATGCAAGCACAGTAGCGCCCGCAGGGCCCGACACATGCCGCCACGGGTGCGGGGAGTGGTAGATCTTCTGGATCTGGCGAAGCCATGCCGATTGTAAGATACCGTGGGGCACCTGCGAGTCACGAAAGAGGAGGGCCCACTGATGCAATGGCGAGGAGGAGGAGGAGGAGGAGGAGGAGGAGGAGGAGGAGGAGGAGGAGGAGGAGGAGGAGGAGGAGGAGGAGGAGGAGGAGGAGGGAGGAGGAGGAGGAGGAGGAGGAGGAGGAGGAGGAGGGGGAGGGAGGAGGAGGAGGAGGAGGAGGAGGAGGAGGAGGAGGAGGAGGAGGAGGAGGAGGAGGAGGACCTGTGCGGAGGACCTCAACGGCGACGTCTCCTTTCCCACTGGCGCGACCTGCCGGTTTGTGCAGACGACGCTGGGCTCGGGCTGGCGCCTGCGCTTCGAGGTGCAGGACGAGGGCCTGAGCATGAGGGCGCTTGCCAGCTTGAAGTGTGTCCCCATCCCCATGTGTGGCATCACCCCTCCCTCAGTTTCTGAGGGCACACGTCCCCGAAATGAATCACCGCTTTTGGCTTGCCGATCTTAGGGATTCGGGTTATGATGTTCCGACCTGCTTTAGCCTGGATCACCAGGACGAAATTCTAGCACCAACACAAAAAGAACCAAATCTCGAGGGTTTTCACGTGTCGCGCCCTGAGAAACACTCGTTCGACACTGTTTCGACACTTTTTTGCGGGTGCTCGAACTGATTTCTGGGATGTGGTCCTTACGTGCGATGTGAGCAACATAAGATTAGGACTAGGCTCGAGCCTGGTCAGGCGGTGCCCCTCGCCTTCGCGGAGATCGGCGCCGACGACCTGGCGCGGCAGGGCGAATGGCGGCTGCTCCTCAGCGACCCGCGCACCTACGAGGCCGTGTACGGCGGGCCCAACGAGGCGCGGCCGCCCGCGGCCCCGCCGCAGAACGGCTCGCCTTCCTCCCCCTCCTGCGTCGCCCACTCCATCATCCTCCCTCCTCCCTCCTCCTTCTCCTCCCTCCTCCTCCCTCCTCCTCCCTTCTCCTCATCCCTCCTCCTCTCTCCTCCTCCTCCTCCTCCTCCTCCTCCTATCTCCTCTCCTCCTTCCTCCATCTCCTCTCCTCTCCTCCCCGTCCTCTCCCTCCTCCTCCCTCCCTCCTCCTCCTTCTTCCCTCCTCCTCCTCCTCCTCCTCCTCCTCCTCCTCCTCCTCCTCCTCCTCTTTCTGTCCTCCCCTCCCCTCGCACCGCCTGAGATCCTGGCGTCGCGCTTTCCACGCACCGCGGGCGCTTCTCCTGGGCCCTGGGGCCCCGGGGCCATCACGGGCCGGTGCGGCTCGACACTGGTTCCGCACGAAGGCTGTGCCCGGGGACTATCTGGTCGTGATTTGTTTCCAGGCGTTGCAGCTTTTGCGCAGCGCCAGATCTCAGGGCACAGCCGTGCCTGCAGGAGGCCACATGCGAACCCTATCCCACCACCCTGCGATTTCTGTGGGCAGGGTGGTGGGGTGGTGGGGTAGGGTAGGGTAGGGGGGTGGTGGGGAAGGGGGGTGGGGTGGTGGGGAAGGGGGGTGGGGTGGTGGGGTAGGGTTCGCACGTGGGCAGCCAGCCTGGCTGGGGGCCATCCTGGGCCCTGGCATGCTGCCTGCCCCCGCCTGGCCTGAGGGCCCCCCCTCTCGATGGTCCGCAGGACGCGTGCTGGCCCAAGCGTTAAGTCGGACATGTCCGTCTACATGAGGAAAATTCAAAAATAAAACAATAATCAGGGGACGTTTTTTCGTTTTGTAACGTTTTTTTTTCGAGGGGGGGGGGGGGGCTATTTATAATTTTTTGAATATCTTTTATGTCTCCTCGAAAATCCGCCTGCAGGAGGACATGCCCGACCGTGACCTGACCCAAGCGCGTGTTTACCCCGCTCGGTTCCGCCGCCAACTGTCGCGCAGCCCGTGCCGGCCCTCGTTGCGCCGCCTTCGTCGCATGGATGGGGCCTCGGTGGACAACGCACACGCTGGCGCCACCCCCGCGCTCCGAGGCTCCTCGACCCTCCTCCGGCGGCGAGGTTCTGCTCGCGGTGCCAGATCTCGGGCCGGACGACAGGGGGGGATTGGAAGAGGGGGGGGGTACGAAATCTGCTGCAGGCAGCCGGTTCCGGCCCCACCGAGGGGCCCAATTCCTCTATCGATACATAGCCGCCTCCAGCGCCGGGGGCGCCGGGGAAATCAGCTACGTGAGCTGATTCTCGAAGCCCCCAGGTGCTGTCCCCCCCTTTCGCCCGGCCCGAAGATCTCACGTGGGCCCTCCCGGAGCGGCACCGCTGCACCACCAGCCGCCCCGCGCCCTGGGATGGTGCGCGGGCCCCCCCACGGCCCGGGCCGCCGGGGCGCACGCGCCCTGCCCTCCTCCTGGCAGCTTCGGGGGACCTCCGTCCTGTCCTGCCAGTGGCACTCTTCTCTTGCGCGCCGTCGTGGCGTCGACGCGGACTCCACATGAGCTCGGCGTGAATGCTCGGCACGGACTCGGCGCGCTCGACACGGACGCGACATGGGTGTGGCACGGAGGGCCGGCGCGATGGGACACAGACGAGGCCCCCCAGAGATGCAGCACGGGATCCCCTTCCTCCAGCGTTTGGAGCAAGCGCCACGAAGGGGGGCGTTGTTCGTCGCTGTCTCCCGCCGAGAGCCCTCGCTGGACCCTAGGACTGACGAAGGGAAGGTCTCGGGATGAAACTCGGAGGCGACGAGAGGGCGGGGAAAAGGGGTCTTCCTATAACATGTGTTCGTTCACAGACGAAGACGGCCGGAGTCAGGCGAGCAAGTGAACGTGAGCCGTCTTAAGCTGAATGTTGCTGTTGCCGCTGTTGGTCTCGTCGCCCCGCGACCCGACCGCGACCCAGCTGCGCCGCGACCCACAGCCTTCTAGCACGCGACCCACTGCGCCGCGACCCCCCTGCAATATTACTCCGACCAATCCGCTCCGGCGGTGGGTCGACTCACCCACATTCACCACCCAGCAAAGCACCCCAACCTAGCCCGAAGACCGAGATTTTGGGTTTGGGGGGGTACGGGTTCTCAAGGTGCGTTTTTTCAGTGTTCCCCGACCCCCCTGCACTTGCCCTCCATTCCCGGTGCAGGGGGGTCGGGGAACACTGAAAAAACGCACCTTGAGAACCCGTACGCCCCCCAAACCCAAAATCTCGGTCTTCGGGTTAGGTTGGGGTTCTCTGGCTCGGATGAAACTCCTGGGAGGTCAAATTCCGATTTCGCCCGGGTCCGAAATCCGGCTCAATCTAGCTTAATCCCGCTTGATCCCGTTTAATCCGGCCTAATCGGGCTTAATCCCGCTTAATGCGATGCCCAATCTGGCGTAACAGCGCCCCATTGGGGTTTCCTCCTCCTCAATCCTTCCGACGAAGACCTCCCAGCAGTTGCCTCCTATCTCTGGCAGGTAGCCGCACACTGCTCTCAAACTTACGCTCGCCGCGCACGGCGGGCCGCAACGGCACCGGCTCCCGAGAATGCGGGCAATATTTATATCCATATCCAGTGCGTCTTGGACTTTCTTGGAAGGGGCGCCGCAAGGCCGAGGCGCGCTGCATCTGGATAAACATGGAGCCTCTTGGGGGCAGGTTATAATCCATATCCAGTGCGCCTCATGTTTCTTGGATGTGGACACAGACACTGGATGTGGATGTGGACACAGACACTGGATGTGGATGTGGATGTGGATGTGGATGTGGACGTGGATGTTGAAACCCCACGACGCACTGGATGTGGACACAGACACTGCCCGCAGAGAACACCGCAGCGCGCCCCTCGCCTCGGGGCGGCCCGGCGACGTCGGGCCCGGGCGGCCCGCCCGCGCCGCCTCCCACCTGGGTCGCCTCGGCGGCCTGCGGCCCGGCGGCGCCCGCCCGACGTGCTCTCTCCCCAGAGCACGCAGATCGGTGGCGCCTGCGACGACCGGGCCGGACGGAGGGGGTACAAAAATTCGGGACGGAGTTTTTTCGCCGTTTTTGGCCTCTAGAGGCCCTCGCCGGGCCCCGGGACCGTCAAAAAACAACTCGGGATGAAGAACCGGCCCCGGGGAAGGGGTCGGGATTCTCGGGGACACCGTCCCGACAAAAATCAGGTCGTCGCATGTCTGGGGTGGGAGAGGGGGGTTTACCAGCCTGGAACAGATCCCTATCTCTATGCTGGGCACCTCCTCATCCCGATGCCAATCTTAGGGATTCCCTTACCTTTTGAGGGCGAATGCCTAAGATGGTCATCGCCTTTTGGCGTGTCAATCTTGGGGATAGGGATACGTTCGAGGCTGGTAAGGGGTTTTACGAAATCTGCTGCAGGCAGCCGGTTTCGGCCCCACCGAGGGGCCGAATGCCTCGATGCATGGCCGCCTCCGGCGCCGGGAGGCGCCGGGAGAAGCAGCCACGTGAGCTGGTTCTCAACGCCCTCCCCTTTGCCCCTTTCGCCCGGCCCGAGACGAGCAGCTAAGGGCGCTCCCCGACTCCTTGCCCGCATCTGCGGGGGACCAGTCTAGGCTTCCTATAGTCAGAGCGTGAATTACCTACCCCGCTTTCGCTTCCAGGCAAAACCAAGCCATACCACGCGCCTCCTCGTCAAGCGGCCTGACCAGTACAGGCTGCAATTTGGCATCGTTTGGTATCTCTTGGAAGCGAGGGTGGTCAAAAGCGAGGTAGGTTTGTTTGCCCCCCATATAGATGGGGTCGGAGTAGATGGGGTCGGGGGATCGTTCCGCACCGCCGATGCATCGGCGATGCATCGCCGATGCGACTCGATGTGGGGCCCGCTTTTCTCCACGCCGGCGTCGCCAATGCGTCGCCGAAGTCGCCAGTACATCGCCGATGCATCGGCGACGCATCGCCGATGTATCGGCGATGCGGCGAGAATCTCCGACCCCAGCTACTCGGACCCCATCTAGGAGGCCTCTAACCGGGCATCGTGTAAAAGATGGGGCTGAAGTACAGTCGACGCTGATCAGTAGGTCGACCCTGCCAAATCAAGGGTGCCCTCGTGTCCTGCGTTTCGCCAGCCATGCCTTCTACATTTTATGGCAACGTGGCCCTCGGAAGGGTCTTGTGTTCTGTTGCGTGTTCTCTCCAATCAACCTCGAGTGTATGTCCTACTCACGCCCGCAGGGCCTCCCAGGGCTGGCCACCCTGCCTCTCCCTCCTGGGAGTGCGGAGGGCCCAGGGGCAGATGGGGCACTGGTGGTGCGCTTCCAGGCCTCCGATTCTGTGAGTCTTTCGCGACGCGACGTGGACCCACGGAGCTCTCGACCCCAGCACCCAGGCCAATTTATCATCGCGGATCGTGGTTTTGATGGCCCCGAGGCCCAAGACAAGAATCCAGAGGCTCAAGCCTTGGACACATCACACGTCGTGATTTTCGAATGCGCTGGATCTCTTTGTGCTGTAGGACCGCGCGGTGTTGACGCCTAGGCGACCTCCGCGCGGGCGGTCAAGGTTGATCTCCGCCAGTGGCCCAGAATTAGCCGGCACCGAAAGATCTGCGTCATCGGAAAGCCGCGAACGTCCAAGGCTGAACGATCCACGCGGTGCCAGAAGCCAACGTCCACGTCATCGCGACATGAGTTTGCCGTAATGTTGCGGCCCGCGCGATATCCTAGGCCTGAGTTTGTGCATCCACCGCCTGCGCAACCGATGTCCCAGGACTCCAGGAGGAATTGGATCGAAGCCGCCCTCATGGGATCCGAGACGGGGTCGCAGGATCATGCCGTATCGCCGATGCATCGGAGATGCGGCTCGATTCGGGGCCCGGTTTCTCCATTCTGATGGCGCCGACGCTTTGCCGACGCATTGCCGCATCGGCGATGCAGCGCGATCTTCTGGGCGGCCTCCACTGGCGTCTGGCTGTTCGCAAAGCCCGGAAGGGCCCAGAGTTTCGGGGCTTTCTTCCTCCCTCCCCCTCCCCCCCCCCGAGCACGCCCGCTGGTGCTGGGCCAGATATCTCGCTTTCACCGCCAGCGCTGCTCGTCGTGGCAGGCCTGTTCTGTCATCTCGCCGTCCCCACTCGTGCTCTCCCCACGGGTACCTGGGGACGCCGCCGCTCCCCCCGTGGGCGGGGCGCGCGCGCTCGTGCTCGCTGGAGCTCCCGGCCGCCCCCGCCCCGCCCCCCGAGGCGGGCGTGGTGCGGGCGCCCGCCTTCCTGCTGGTGCACACGCAGGCCTGGCGGGGGGGGGGGACGACAGGCAAGTCGGGCACGTGCCTCTACAGGAGGAGCATCCAAGAATATCCCCAACATTGTCAATTGTCTGGGGACGATCTGTCGACTGTTTTCGGCCGTGACCGTTCTTGCATCTTTTTTGGGACTGTTTTTAATCATTCGTCCAAAATCCGCCTGTAGGAGGACATGCCCGACAGACAACAGCCGGGCCGCTGACGAAGGAGCCCGTTTCGTTGGGGCGGGGCTCAGGTCTCCTTAATTGTTTTGCAAGTTGTGTCAGGTTTTCCCTAGGTCTTGTATGGAACATCGGAGTTACACCTGTGGAGAAAAAGGGCTTCGGCCTCATGTAGGGTTCCTGCTGGTGCACAACCGGGCCTGGCGGGGTGGTGGTGGGTGGACTGCCGCGGGTTCGTGTCGTGTCGACCCCAGCGTTGGTTCCTGACACCGCGAGAATCGTTCAACCTTAAAGGATCGGCCGTCTCCGACACGTCCGATCGTTTAACCTCGACCGATTCTGGGTCGCCCGCGGCGTTCAGCGTTGAACGCCGGCGGCGGGGTCGCCGCCGGTCGACACGACACGAACCTGCGTCTGTATGTTTTGACCGGCGGATGGTCTCATTTTCTTGAGGGATGTTCTTTTGGCCTGGGCCCGATTGTACATGCACAGCATGAACAGAGATGTTCTTAGGAGGAGGGCTTGTCGAGATTACAAGCGCAGCATGAACATCTCAGCAGGAAAAGGTACTCATACCGCTACCCCTCTGGCCGTGTTCCCCTTTTTGAGCCTCTTGGGCGGCCCTCGTCGCCACCGCTGGATTCGCTCCGAAATCCTGGTCAGAACGCACCCCAGGCGAGGTCTGGGGAGTAGCGGTATCGGTACCTTTAGGTCGGGCCTGTCCCTCTACAGGGGGAATATTCGAACATGATATAAAAAATGCAGAGGACGATTTGGGGTAGTTTTTGACTACGGGCAAAAACCCTAATAAGGACGCGCGACTTTGCTCAGGGTACCCTTGCGTCCTTGCTCTTCCTTGCTCTTGCGTCCTCGAGGTTTTCGTCCTCCGCCGCCCCAGACATCCCCACTTCGGCTTCCAAGGGTCTTGCGTCCTTACCGCGCGTCCTTATTAAGGTTTTTGACTGTACTTTGGTATTTTTCGTCCAGAATCCAGGAGGGAGGAGGGAGGAGGGAGGAGGGAGGAGGGCCACCCCTGGTGCTCTCTGCGGCCCTCCGCGGGCCTCCCCGGAGGCCTCCCGTCGCCGGTCTCTGGTCTGCCCCGAGAGCGCGCCAGGGGCACCCGTTGAGCGGACGCGTGCCGGGCGGCAGGAGGCGATTTCCTTTGCAATCCCCGAGGTCCCGAAGTCTGCTGCGTGCGCAGCTGGTTCTGGCCCCGTCCCGGGGGGGGCCCTCCACGACACCTGGGCGCCCCTAGCGGGAAAACCGGCTACACGAGCTGATTCACTACGCCCCCCTCCATTTTATTGCGCTTCTGTCGTCCGCCTGGATCGTTGTCGTCATTTCTGGACGCCCGAAATGGGTACGGAAAGAATGGGTACAATGCCCAGCAGCAGCTCCTGTTCCTTTTGAACGGGACTCGCTGTCCGCGCCGCCGCGGCCTGTGTCCATTCGAGACAGAGGGCCGCCTGCTCAACAGCGGCCGCTGTTGGTTTGGGACAACAGTTGTTGTTGGGCATTGTACCCATTCTTTCCGTACCCATTTCGGGCGTCCAAAAAAGACAAGGCTCGCCAGAACGGAAGGCGACGTCGGAGAAACATGCCGGGGGGACTCTCGGACGCACCCCTGTCGAGGACGAGTCCCCCTCTTACTTTATGCGGCTTCATTGGGCACAACTGCTGCCGCCCGATCGAAAAACCCGCACACAGCGGGGGATTGGGATTGCCGTACCCCCTCCCCGCCGTGAAGATACACTTCCAGAGGCCCGCGCACACTGCTTGGTTCGGCGCTGGCCTCCTCCCGCTTCCCTGGCACGCTCTGCGCGCCAGGGCCGGCGCCAGAGGCGCCGCCCGGGGAGGGGGGGGCATCCGCCCGGACCTCGGGAGTTGATGCTGATCTCGAGGGCCATTTTTGGGCATCGCTCGGACGTGTGCGCTGTGTCTCGGCGAGGACCATCGAGGAGCACCTCGGGCCATCGTGCGAGCAAAAAACAGGCACGGGACCGAGACATGGCCAGGGCAACGGGCGTCCGAGCGACGGCGCGTTGTGCTGATCTCGAGGACCACTGACGGAGTGGTGGACGTGGCTGCCTGCCCGCCCCCTAGGGGCGGGACAAGCGTCCATTCTTCGAAGGCCACACGCGAACCCTACCCCTACCCCCCAAGATTTCTGAGGGGGGTCGGGGTAGGGTTCGCATGTGGGCCCCTAATTCTACCACTGTTCCCGAGGGCTCCACGGCAGGTCTCCAGCAGCTGTTGACGTGGATAGTTCTTGGCTGTGCGGCTATACATTTTATGCAACTGGACTTTCGGAGGTCCGCGCGGGCTCCTTGCGTCTCGGCCTCCCGGATGGAGTCGGGGCAGGTGGGGTCGGAGGATCGCGCCGCATCGCTGATGCATCGCGGATGCGGCTCGATGTGGCTCCCGATTGTCTCCGCGACGACGTCGCCGAGGCGTCGCCGACGTCGACGATGCACTGCCAGTGCATCGCTGATGCATCGCCGATGCTCGCCGATGCGGCGCGATCCTCCGACCCCGTTTATCATCTACTCTGACCCCCTCTCGGAGGCCTTCGTCGCGTTGGCGCAGGACCCCACCCCCCGCGGCGGTGCCTCCAGCGCCGCCCCTGGCCTGCTCCGCGTGTGGCGCTGACCCGAGCAGTGCGCGCGGGCCTCCGGGAGCTCTTGCTGACAGTGCCGTTTTCAATACATGCTGCGCGTGCGGATCATGTATCAAACATGCATGGCTTTTATATTAAATCAACGATGAGTTCATGCATACATTTATTCATACATTACTCAGGTATTGGACATCCTTTTTTGCTTTGTCTTGCTTTTCCTTTTAAATCATTAAAAGAAAACTGCCCTGTACGATACAGCGTGGGACGAATTTCCCTAACCAGGGTTGGTTAGAGGGGTTGGCCGGGAGGCTTGGCTGGGGGTGTTGGCAGCTGGTTGGTTGGGGCTTGCTGCAGGGTTGGCCAGGGTTCTTCCGATGGTGAAATCATACACCGAGATGTCGTACAATAGTCCTGGTACAAACACGTCAACTCCTTGACCAAGCTGTGCTGTCAGAACATCGTCTGCGTCTGTCCATGCAGAGGGTGGAGAGCGCGCGGAGGGAGAGGGGGGGAGGCGGCAGGAGGGAGGGCGGACCTGGCAGCTTGCCCATAGAGGGATCACAGCGGACAGCCAGGACCCCCGACGTGGACCCCCCAGACTGTCTGGACCCGCGGCCCGGAGTCAGCTTCTCAGCCTGTGAGCCGTCTCGTGGCAGCCCCAGGACCCGGCGGGGGGCCCCCAGAGGCAGCGACTCGTAAGAATCCGCCCGTCGCGTCTTGTCCCGACGCAGGGGGGTCTGGGAGCATGCCATTTTTTTTTCTTCCTCGCGCTGGGGCCACAAGAGAGTGCCACAGGGGACTGGGGGGGAGCCCGAGGACGCCCAGGCTGGCAGCCAGTCCGGCGGCTTGTCCGGCGGATGTTTCGCCGGAAACTTTTTTGGCATTTTCACGGATCGTGCTCTCGCCTCAATGCCGTCTACATTTAAGTCGGGCCTGTCCCTCTACAGGGGGAATTCAAAACAGAAATAGGCGGGGGATGATTTTTGGATTAGTTTTGGACCCTTTTGGGGTATCTTTGGACTATGTTTTATTTGTCGTCCGAAATCCGCCTGTGGGGGGACAGGCCCGACCTAACCTCAACAATGCCGTCTACATTCAGGAGGGGAAAAAACACAGACACAATTAATTGTCGATTCCTAAGAAAATGTGAGAAAACATGGGAGTTGGGCGGGAAGACAACAACACAGAACATATGGGAAACATATGGGACATATTTCTATTGGTGTGTATTTATCTGTGTGTCCCAGGGCCCCTTCATACACGTTTGGTCCGGACGGCCACGAGCCTTCGCAGAGGCGCACGAGGTGGTCGTGCTCTTGCCCGCGTCCCGCCCGCATCTCGGAGCAGACCCCCCCCCCCCTGGCCGGCCTTCTGCCCCTCGACCCGCCTCTTCACCTCGGCTGCTGCTAGAGCACGCTGCCGGGGTAGCACCTCTATCAGGAGGAAAAGAAACACACAGACACAATTAATCCTCGATTCCCCAGAAAATATTGGAAAATATGGGAAGTGGGGGGAAGACAAAAACCCAGAAAATATGGGAGAATATGGGGAATATTTTGATTTGTGTGTATTTATTTGTGTGTCCTGGGGCCCCTTCATATGACCTCGGGCACGCGCGTGCCTCTGGTATAGAGAGATAGAGGCGTCAAGCTCGCGCGCCGCCCGGCCTGCGGCTGGCGGCAGCGCCTCCCGCCCCCCCTCCCGCGGCGGGAGACTCCTGCCCAGCCCGGCTGTTCGATCACGTGGGCCCCTTGTCAACGCTGGGGGCCCCGACGCGGTGCGGTGACAGACCGTGCGGTGACCTTCAAGTCTTAAGTCGGGCATGCCCCCTTACAGGAGGAATATTCAAACATAGACGAACAATAGTCTGGGGACGATTGCCTATGACCATTTTTGACCATTTCGCAGCATTGTTCTAACGATTCGTGATGTTTCGTCCAGAGTCCCCCTGTGGGAGGACACGCCCGACCTAATCCAAGCCCCCCGGAACCTCACCGCGCGGCGGCCCGCCACCGCGCGGTGTTGGAGCCCTGGGTGGCTTTTAGAGTTGCCCGAGGCGCCCTCGGAGAGCGGCCCAAAAGCCCCCTCAAAAGCCGTGCGGCCACCCCGGGATCCCCAGATGTCGGGTACAGCCAGGACCCCAGGGGAGGGGACCCGCTTAGCAGCAGGGCCCTGGAGCCCCTAAGCTTGAGTCGGGCCTGTCCCTCTACCGGGGGAATCTATCTCAGAATCGTAAAACAACAGTCGGGGGACGATTGTTGGATTTGTTTTTGACCATGTTGGGGTATTGCCTGGCCGCACTCACCGTACCAACCACAAGTTCACGAATATTGCCGTCGCGCCCACGGACGTGCTATCCCCTAAAGAACGGCCGAAAAATGACAGAAGGACCTGGTCCGCAGCAGGCCCGAGGCGAGGCTCGCCTCTCGAGCCCTCAGCGTCAGGTTCCTATATGCCGCCACGCTGGTTCCGGGCAGGCTGTGCTGTCCGGCGGAAGGGGACGAGGAGGGGAGAAGCAGGCAGACGACGACGAACGCCCAGGCGGGAGGCCAGGGCCGGCGGGGCGGGCGGGCAGGCAGAAGACGGGCCAGGCGGAGACAGCAGGCAGGGAGCAGGAGGAAAGGAAAGGGAGGGAAGCAACGAGCAGAAGCGAAGGGAGGGGGAGGAGGGGGAGGAGGACAAGGAGGACCATGTTGGGGTATTTTGGTTTGTTTGTCCTCCGAAATCCGCCTGAAGGGGACAGGCCCGACCTACTAGTAGGGCCCTGGAGCCCTTCAAATTGGCCAGCGTCACTGAACCAGGTCTGCCGTAGCTGGTGCATTCTCGGGTGACGGCAGATCCGGCTCGTGGAACGGGGCGGGGGGGCGTCCCCCAGCGCACAGCACTAAACTCAGGAGGGGGAAAAACACACACAGATACAATTTATCGTCGATCCCCAGGAAAATAGGGGAAAGTATGGGAAGTGGGGGGCAAGACAAAAACCCAGAACATCTGCGAGAATATGGGGAATCTGTTTATTTGCATGTGTTTATCGGTGTGTCCCAGGGCCCCTTCGTAAACCAGGTCCCACGGAACCCAGTTCTGCCAACGCTTGGGAGCGCCTGAGAGCATGCTGGGAGCGCCAGGGAGCGCCTGGGAGCGCCTGGGAGCGTGCTGGGAGCGCCTGGGAGCGCCTGGGAGCGCCATCCGCCTGGGAGCGCTTGGGAGCGCCCGCCACGCGGCTCACCACGCGGTGCGGTCACCGCACCGTTTGGGGCCCCCGGGGCCACGCACGGACCCTGCGGCCTGCGCGCCGCAGCCGGGCCCGGGAAGCCGCGGAGGGCCGCCAGAGGAGGCCGCCCGAGGAGCGCCAGACGCCCGCCGCCGAAGGCCGCGGGGAGGCCACCGGAGACCGCCCGAGGCCGCTGAGTGACAGGGGGTCCATGGACGAGTACCTTCTTTTTTTGCTGTTTGTTTGTGTGTTTTGTTATTGTTTTTTGTTTTTGTTTTTCTTTTCCCTCCCACTGCACACTCCTATCATATATATATATATATATATATATATATACACATACATATGTATATGGACAGCCCCCCCCCCAGCACCCATTCCTCGCCTTCTTTCTCTTGGTGATGTTATACAATCCTATTCCTTTCCTTTCCCTTCCTTGCTACAATCCCCTTCCTTCCCCTCCCCTTCCTCGCTGACATCTTCCCCTGGCGTCGGCGGAAGCCTTTTTTGTCGACCACCCGCAAGCGAGCCCAACGGCAGCGCACTGTAGAACATGCACCAGGCGCCTTCCCTCGAAGAGGACACCCAAAGCGTGCATGGATCATCTTGCATACACGAAGAGCCACCAAACCCTTTGATTGCATTGGGATTTCTGGGACGAGAATCACACAACCATGTTTTCTTTTTTTTTGGGGGGGGGGGGATTTTTGGGATTTGGCAACTCCGAACGAAAATCAACGCTGCAGCCCCTAGGGCTCCGAATCCAACAAATCCAAATGAAATCACAGGGTTTCGCGCCCCCTTGGTTCGCAAACGTTATGTTTTCATTTGGATGTTTGGGGTTTCTGGGGTGAGAATCAAGGAAGCCCTTTGATGTCATTTTTTGTTGTGGGATTTTTGGGATTAGGCACCTCTGGGATTCATTGGGATTCCTGCGGCCAAAGCCTTCGAAGGCTGTGGATTTTTTCCAAGGTCCCCAAATCCCAAAAATCCAAAACATCCCAATGAAATCGCAGGGTTTCCTTGATTCTCATCCCAGAACTCACAAACTTCCAAATGACATCACAGGGTTTCCCGCCCCCTCGCTTCGCAAACCATATGTGTTTAATTGGCTTTCTGGGAGGCGGAGGAGGTGGAGGAGGAGGAGGAGTGGTAGGAAGAGGATGGGGGGGAGGAGCGGGGAGGAGGGCGGGCAAGCGTGCCATTGCATCGTGCAAAGCAGGAACCCTAAGCGCACTACGCAGTGACGCGGCACAGAACGGATCAGCTGCATGAGAGATGCGGCGCGAATACTAAAAACAGTATTGCGCAGGGCGAGAGGAGGGAGATAACCCTGGGAAGCAATCAGTAACCCCCCCTCCCCCCCCCTTCATCAGAGGAAATTATATCGCTTCCGGCACCGGGGCTGGGGCGGCAGCGATATCCCCCGCAGGTCACCAGAGGTCCGCGGAGGGGAGGTCCCCGGAGGTTCCCAGGAGGCATCCAGAAAAGGCCTCCACAAGCCTCTGAATGCCCGGTCCCCTTGTAGTCCAGAGCCCAGCGACAAGGCACACCTGCCCAGAGTCGCTTCCTGTGATTCTGTGCGTTTCTGTGAGATTCCTCGTAGATTCCCTTGATGCTCCGATTGGCTTCTTTTGAGATTCCTTGCCGTTTCCATTGTGTTTTTTTTGGCTCTTTTGAGACTCCTCTGGTGTTCCTTTGATGTTATTCTGGGGGTCCCTTGAGGTTCCCGTCATATCCCTTTGATGCCCCATTGCTTAAGGGAGCATCACATCGACGTCCGGGGCCGGTGGATTATTTTCAATAAGTGTGCTAACATAT